GAGCCCACAAATAGAATAGCTTGGTTTGTAAATCGATTTCTCATCCATTCGCTGAAGCACATAACAGTTTATCTCACAAATACCTCGATGTTCCTGGATCGTAGGGAGCGTCCTAACTGCGCGCACGTTATGGAGTCCTTCGACGTTACCGCCCTTTATATTAACGTGTCGGACGATTCTGCAATGCAAACCATCCATGAGCTTCTTGTAAAACACGAAAGGGTAATAAGCATGTGTGACTTCTCCATTCAGCAGCTCATGGACCTCCTAAAGTTGTGTCGGAACTGCTCGATTTTCAGATTGTCAGAGAAATGTTAGAATTAGACGTTTGGAAATGGGACAGCGACTGGTGCTAACACCTGCCAATGCCTTAATGTCTAAGGTAGAAGCACCAGTAATCGATCTCTCGCCATTACTCTACTGTAGACGTATGGATGAATATGTCATCTCTTCCACACAAGAGAAGATGGAAAAATACTTTGAGTTATTGAACGAACAGTCGGAGTACATAAAATTCACCCGAGAGAAACCGGAAGAAAACTGGCTTCAATTTCTGAACGTTTAAATTAACCTATCCAAAAATGGCTATATTGCAAAATGGTACCGAAAGCGAAGTAGTAGAAACACAGCGGTTCATTGGCTCTCCTCTCACCTCTCATACAAAAAAGGACGCTTATAAGAAACATGGTCCGAACAGCAATTAGTGTGCGCACTGGAAGAAAGCAGAAAAATAAATCCCGAAAATTGGTGCGGTAAATAGCCATTTCGAATCACTACGAAACAGTAACTCCTCGAGATAGGGGTAGAGGGAAAGCTAGGCCTTTAAACGATAATTCTAGCAAGAATAAGGTACCGTTTATCCAGCTGTTTATCTTCAAAGAGGTGAGTGCAGGTATAAAACGTTGCTTAAGAAGGGACAGTCTAGAGGATTCGGGAAAAGTAATGGAAATACCCCCGGACACTAAGATTACAGCTAGTTGGTAACCGCCTATATGACTGTCTATGCACAACACAAAATTGCATAATATATCTTGACGGCGGACACGATGATAAGTTCGGGTGTGGTTTACTTAATCTCTCGTAAAACATGTTGCGACGAATACGTTGGCGAAACGGGTAGACCATTCCGCGTCCGTTTAAAAGAACATCTAGTCGGTAAATCTAAATTAAAGCCAAACACTCCACTGGGAGCGGATAGGACATTGAAACATAACGAAGAAGATTTTGAAGTAAAAGTTACCAAAAAACCATGAGTGAATGGTTTCTCTCTGGTTTCTCCTTCTGGTTAAGAATCACCATTTTAGCGCTTGCCATGAAGCTCTAGCTTAGATTGAGAGAATTTTGTTTCAGATGGAAGCTTCAAGGTCTGCTCACTTTCCTCACAGCATAAACTATCGAACGAAACGGACCAACTTTTCGAAAAGCACCACCCACTGCTATTGATTTTTAAATCTAACTGCTTAGTATTTAGTGGTCGGAATGATTGTTATTGCATTACTTTCTATAACGGAGGCGTGCAAAACTTTCTTCATATATTCGGCGTTATCTTCTTATCTTCTTGTGTTCACTAAGCTTACGAGAGGTTACTTCTAACAACTCGTTCATAGCCGCAATGATGCGTGTTAAGTGTCCACAGCATTCCGCTCTTAAAATGTGAGAATTCGCAGTCGTACGTCGAATTCAGGGAATAGAGAGAAACAAAAGGTCTCGGGTTTTAACAAAATCAAAGTTCATATCCGAGCACGAAAGAAAATGAATCTATTGTATAAAACCGGCTCCGAAGATAGTGTTGAAAAGCTGAGGAGATCAAGCGCCTGCAGAGGACCCTTTGTGCTATATGGTTTGTTGCTGTCTTTCTAAAAGATGAATCGCTTGTTGTGATTTGTATACCTTTGTGACGACATGAATTCATCTAGATTCGTGCGATGTAGAAGTAATTCTATTTTTCAAAGCAACATCTCAGAGCTCATACTGAACACTTTTTATTCGAGAAAAAACCGTTGTAGTATTCATATCTTTGTCTAGATGGGACAAGTTGAACATTTAGTTCTACAAAACTTATTTTCCGCTCATTTTTGCCTTAATGGTCCTGTGTTGAAAGACGAAAGCATTCGAACAAACGGGGTTTCGCTGATTAGGACGCGGTGGTGTGTCGCTGGTTTTTGCGTGTGCATAGATACCATTGGAATTTTTTGAACTTGTAATTTCGTTTCAAATTTTATCACATTTTTCTGAAAAATTTTAAAGTTAGATGAATTTTTGATAAAACTGTGAGTGGTCGTAAGGGGAATCGGCAAAGACTGTAATGCTGTAAAGTTCTCGACTCTTCTATTGGTCGTCAAAAACCAGCCTTGCCAAAAAAATGAATGGGAGAAATGTGTGAACGTCTATTTAGATAGATTTCTTCTTAAGAAACCTCCTGTGAACCTTTCATTGTTTGTACTCTATCACATGTAATGCCCTACGAAGAAAGAGACAGCAAAACCCACTGTGTTCGACACATAAATTGTCTCTTAGCCAGTTGTGTTACTTCGTTTCCTGGGGTGTAATTAGGTGGCTAGATAAACACTAGCTTTCTTCCACAAGAATTCATGTTTAAGACCAGGAACTGGTTTTTTCCAAAGATAAATGTAGGAGTACTTCAAAAAACTCGGAAAATAGTGACTCACTTTCACCTACGTATTAACCCTCCGAAAAAAATAGATTTCCGTGCTTAAAGAACGTTGGAACTGCGGCAGACTTTGGCCAGGCTGTCCTCGGGATTCCAGGGGACCACGATGGCTTAACCAGCAAATCTCCGAAAGATGGTGATTATGTTGGGGCCCGGACAACTAGTGAGGACGGGCTGTTCAAGTATCAAGTGTCAAGTAAAGAACGTTGGAAACGCAGTGGTGAAATACGCGCTTGCACTCCTCCATCCTCGTCTAAGAGGCAAAGAATGTACAGTCGGTTAATTACTCCAAGATTTTTAGAGTGAGAGCCCTCTAATGTGATAATTGTAGGATTCCAAGGAGGATAAGCTAGACTAGCTCTCAACGACATTCATAAACGACGGAAATCGTCAAGAGAAACAGTGGAACTCTCCTGCAAATCCTAGGATCTTCGTGGATGATCGATGTGAGGGCATGGATGAAATGAAGGGCCTATGGTGTCACCGTATGCAAAGAAGGATCAAATAGCTGAGAAGGAAATTCTTTCCGTGAACTATCATTTCCAAGACTGGGCTTTTACAACCCTCTTGCCTGTAAAGAGTAAGAGATCGGCGATTACAAAGAAAAAAAGTAGTTGACGAGTTGAGTCTGCAAGAATTCAGCATTCTGTCATAAGATAAGAAGTACTTTTCCGAGTTTTCTAGCGTATAGTGGTTTTCTCAAGGGAAAAAAAAAACGGAGTGCGCCTTCGCCACCAGGCCATGCGGGTCCTTTGTTTCGTCTGTCTCTCAGCTAATTCTATCGATCACTACCATTAGCAATCACCCGCCAACGGGATCGACTTGGGGAGCACAAATCAGCAGTGAACCCATTTAAGCTGTGGCTGTAGTCGAAATCACAGTTTTTTTTAACTTTTTTATTTACTGCCTATTACAATTTTTCACGGCAGCATATTACGACTACAGACTTAACTGGGTTCAATGCCGATTTAGGCTGCCCAGATCAATACCGTTGACGGGTGATTGCTGATGGCAGTGATCGATAGAAAACTAGCTGAGAGACAAGCGAAGCGAAGGACCGACATGGTGTGATGGTGAACGCGTTAGGTCCTGGAAAGCGTAATAGGGCGTCGGAGTTTTGCAAATATCTCATCATTATTGTGGTTTTCTCACACGTAATACCCTGCTGTAAAGATTGTAATAGGCAATAAATAAAAAGAATTGTTGTTATTTTGTCTTCTTATCCCCCTTATGAACAGAAGAATGCAGCAAAAACTTGAATTTTACACCTTGTTTTTTTTGAAAAGCCTGATCGAGATTTCGTCTTCATGAAAGCCGCGGTGATTCTAGTCGGTGCCAACAGCAGCTGCTTGTCATCGTAATGCCGGTCTCCGTTAACGCTACATCGAAAAAAATTGAGTAGAGTTGGTCACCGCACGAATGAAGTAGCTTCACTAAGCTCTCTGCATGTATTCAGGACTCTAGTCGCTATGAAGTGACCTGACCCCACCTGGCACTTCGCTGGAATGCACTATTTCATCCGTGCAATGCATCATCTACTGGATTGGTCCTGACACGACGGCTACGAAAACCAACATCATAGAAACAGACAGCTGCTGCGAGCACTTGACGCGTATCATCGTGGCTGCCATGAAGATGAAACTGCTGAAACGTTAGCCATTAAGGTTTGCGACAACCTCGTGCAAACTTCTCGATGAAGCAAAGCAGTGGTGAATTTCATCTCCATGCGACGACGTTCCAGTGGCGTTTGCAAAACTCTGTTCAACAAACTTATTTTCATTTGACTGTACATGAATTGAAATGATTGAACAGTATGGAATTAATGAACGTCAATCGACGCTGTCAATGGGAGCTCTTGCCATACCTTTCCCCAATGACATAAGGACAGATTTGAGAAGCAATTTTGGCTTTTGATATGGCTATCATCGCATGAATGTCGAAGAGTATAAAAAATTAAAAGGATAAAGCTCTCAGCGTTGATCAATCCGTGGTGGCCTACCGATGTATCGAGCCAGTGCCGCTATCCTCCCAGACAGGTCTGGTACCAATTTGCCAACCCTTGAGTGGGCCATGGTCGCAGGGATCGATTCCACGTGAGTGTTGCAGGGTGCCTCTGACCACTGCGCCACAAGCGCCGTTAGTATCCGCGTCTGTCGAAGAGTGTAGTAATAACAATGCCCATAAGAATCGAGGTTTATTGAGTATATGAATGTCATAAAACAACGAAATATGAATGCAGAGAGATAGGAGCTGGCGAAGTGAATTCATGGAGTCTTAGTGAACTGTATATCCCCTATAGAATATGATATAAAGACAACGTTCGCATGAATTAATGTGAACCATCTTGGGTTGAAATACTCGAGTCCACCGTTGACAAATCGATTCGAGGGAATACTACCTGCAAATTTATTCAGTAAACAAGGCTTGCTCTATCGTACGGAACTCGACATCCAAAATCAACCTAATGACTGACTCTGCCAAGTCCTCTTTCCTTCAGCCTTCGTTGGTACTGCTCTCGACTTGTCTGCAGCACTGAATGACATCGTTCAGGAACTCGAACGCTCAGACTGCTTCGTGCTGCAATTTCAGCATCCAGATATTCTGAAATTTATCGTAACCCAAATCTTATCTCTGTCATTCATTCATTCATTATTATCTTATTTCGTGTTACTAGAGGTTATTCATTCCACAGACCTCCCCTTATATGGTCTCAAACCTCGAGCCGGTTAGTCGCGAGGCTACTTGGCGCGTCCCCAAGTGCTGGATAGGGGCTTAATCGCGGACCAAAAGCGACTTTTGCTTCCCTGAGACGCAAGTGGATCCATGGGATGGACTCCCTGTTTCTGCTGCGCCGATTTAGCACATACTTTCTGTATTTGCTAGGCGTATTCATGCATGCGTGTGTGGGTGCGTCCTTGCTTATGCGAATTGTATTCTACGAGTCAATTCGGCCAAAAGCATGCAATCGAGTGACCGAGAAGTATATGGGAGGCGGTTAGGAGTCGCCTCCAACAAATAAGCTCCATGTCCACTCTGGGAGAGCCTGGCAAGCTACCTGTAAGTATACTCAGCCCCCTCAGAGCCCAGCATGCTACACGTGGGTAACGAAATGCTAAACACAGTAAAAAAAAAACAGGGTCTCTTTCCACTGACTCCGAAAGAGCCCCCCGTTTCCAGCGTTGGCTAGGATGAGTACGGAGAGGCTGCTAAAATCTCAGGGCCAATGGAAGCTGCCTGGATTTTAAAGAACTATGGTGACGATCTGTACCTACAATGCACGTACACTTGCATCCGACTCCTCGATAGAAGACTTTCTCATGCAAGCGAGAAGGATAAGGTACGACGTCATCGGCCTGGCCGTGACGAGAAGACGACAGCTTTTTAACGCCGTCTATGACACCGGAGAACTGTTCCTCGGAACATGTGATAGTAGAGGAGTCCACGGCGTCGACGTTCTCGTCAGCACAAGTTTGTCCATGAACATCGATTCATTCGAACAATTTACAACCCGAATCGTACGTTTACGATTACGAAGACGTGGATCAATTCCGGCTTTCACAATCTTCGTCGTTTACGCGCCGACACGGCGATCAAAACAATCCATGGTAACACGCGCTTCCAGAAGCCCCACCCTGAGCGCCGGACGTGAGGTCTCCTAATGGAGAGTACCAAAACGAAATAGACCACATCATAGTAAATAGAAGGTTTTGCTTAACCGATGTCGCTGTTGTCCCAAAATTCTACACGGGATCAGACCAACGTCTCCTTCGTGTAAGATTCTATTTCTCGCGGAAAGGAGAGAAGCCGCTAAATTCCAAAACAGAAGTCCCAGAACAACCATAAACTGGGACTTATTCAATTCATTAGTCGGCTGTTGGGAAGGTGCCGTTGTCGATAACATCGACGAAGAATACGATCGGCTCATTCAACATCTCCACACTAGCGCTTTGAAAACTGAGAGTTCGAAAGTCACCAAGAGACGATTGTCTCCAGAAACACTTGAGCTAATACACCAGCGTGGAATCGTACGAGCTGTAGGCAACCGCAAACTAACGTCCGAACTTGCAAAACAATGCAGACAGGCGACAAAAGAAGGTCTTAAAGAGAGAAGAGCAGCAGTAATGGCCGAATCTGCAGAGGCTGGGAAAAGCATTCGCAAAGCCACCGAAGCCTTGCCAATTACAAGACCAAAATGATTGCACTCCCGCGCCCAAGCGGAACGGTTACAGCGTCCAGAAAGGTAATGGAGAANTTGTCTCCAGAAACACTTGAGCTAATACACCAGCGTGGAATCGTACGAGCTGCAGGCAACCGCAAACTAACGTCCGAACTTGCAAAACAATGCAGACAGGCGACAAAAGAAGGTCTTAAAGAGAGAAGAGCAGCAGTAATGGCCGAATCTGCAGAGGCTGGGAAAAGCATTCGCAAAGCCACCGAAGCCTTGCCAATTACAAGACCAAAATGATTGCACTCCCGCGCCCAAGCGGAACGGTTACAGCGTCCAGAAAGGTAATGGAGAAGATCATTCACGAATACTACTCGGATCTTTTCGATAGCCACATCCATCTTCTGTCATATGAAATAAAAGAGGATGGATATGCCGCACCAACGGTTCTCCTTTCCGAAATCCGACATACCATTTCGTTGGCGAAAAATCGAACAGCACCAGCCGGACAGGATAAGACCAGAACACCTAAAGAACCTTCCGCCAGTCCTCGTAAACACACTGGCTCGACTCTTCACACATTACCTTTCTGAATGCAAGGTCTCTACTCAGTGGAAGACCAGCAATACCGTGTTATTGTTCAATAAGGGTGACCTACACAATATCGGCAACTATCGCCCAATCTGCTTGCTGTCTGTCGCCTACAAACTTTTCACTCGAGTCATCCCAAACAGGACTGACAGAACACTAGACGAAGGACAGCCATATGAGCAAGCAGGGTTTCGAAAAGGATTTAGTACGATGGACCACATCTACACGGTAGCAAGGCTCATTGAAGTATCGTGAGAGTACAAACGACCGCTCTGTCTTTCATCGATTTGCAGAAAGACTTTGACTCAGTTGAAATAGAAGCAGTCTTGGAAGCCCTTCATAGTCAACGAGTCCCTACTCAGCACATAAGGATTCTTCGTGAGCTGCACAAAAATTTCACAACCAAGGTGTCACCATTCTACAACGATATTAATATTTACGTCAAAAGAGGAGTTAGGCAAGGCGATGCCATCTTGCCAAAATTATTTACCACCGTCCTCCAAAACGTCATGCGAACATTGGAATGGGATAATATGGGAGTGAAAATCGACGGTCGGCAGTTTAAGCATTTTCGCCTTGCTAATGACATCGTCCTTATGACACCAAACATTAGCCAAGCGGAACGTGTGCTTGACTACTTTGATAAAACGTGTGGAAAGATTCGTCTTCCACTAAATCTCACAAAGCGGTGTTCATGAAAAACGGGTTGGTTTCGCATGCCCCATTCACGTTCAATGGAACGAATATCTCCGAATGCTCCAGTTATATCTATTTAGGTCGGGAAATCAACGCGATGAACGACCTAGCTCCAGAGCTGAGCAGAAGGAAACGAGCAGCATGGAGAGCTTTCAAAAGCATCGACGATGTAGTGAAGATAACAAAAACACCTGACTCCGTGCCCACCTTTTCGACTCAACGATACTTCCTGCCCTAACGTATGCGTCAGAAACCTGGTCGCTGCATAAGCAGAATGAAAGGTCACTCAGCGCTATCGAACGTGAAGTCGAAAGGACGATGTTAGGAGTATCCTGTTTCACATAATTAAAGGATGGGATTCGAAGCTCCGACCTGCGTCAACGATCAAAAATCAAAGATGCCGTTCTGTACGTCAAACAGTCGAAGATAAGGTGGGCCAGATACGTAATGCGTATGAATGACAACCGATGGACAAGAGCCGTTAGTGACTGGATTTCCCAGGATGTCAAACGTACTGCAGGAAGACCACCGACCCGATGGTCAGAGTTCTTCACAAAGAGCCTTGAAGAAAGATATGATGCTCGACGAGTCCCTAGAGCGAGCAGAACCCACTTGGCTACTCTTGTACTCTTGCACGCGACAGGGAAAAATGGAAGATTTACTGGCATCCGCTCGAGTTACTCGACAATCAACGGGAGTACAGGTGGTACAGGTGATACAGAGGTTATTAATCCTAGCATAAATTCTCTCCGTTAGCTGATGACGTACGCTATGTACGGCGCAGGTTGATCAACGACTAGGCTCTTTTTAATCTTCGGTTAAGAAGAAACTTCCTAATATTGCGCACGTTCTGATGGGAATAAAATCCAAACCGGACACAAAATGCTACCAATTATAGTAATTTTTCTGACTGATACTTCACTCTGTCCTTCATTCGTTAAAAAGATAACGAAAAAATTAGGAAAGAACCATATAGACTAAAAGCACTAAGAACTATAGTTATAGCGAAGACAAAATCTTTCCAGTTCCTTCTCAATTTCATTCCGTATATCTTAATGGATTAACGTTCCTTCGTGGCTAGGAGGTGATTCCGAGTGTCGAACTGTGACGATCAGTGAGATTCGTCTTGCAGCTGGGTCTCTCAAGCTAGCAAGGAGTTCGACATCTCCATCCGAAAGCCCAGCCAAGAGTACCAGAGATACTTTAACCTCGGCAAACAACATGCTCACTAGTTTCAAATGGTATCGAGCTGCTAAACATTGGCACACTTTCGAGACTTCAGGAGACCATGTTCTGTCCAACCAACAAATTACCCGTCGAATGCAAAATGTGATAGTATCTTCACCTATTTGTTATTCACGGTAACGAAACATTTAAGGGTACCTTATTTTGTCCACAAGATTTTACTTCGCAATACCTTCCGAAATAATGTGCAGTTCTGATTCTTAGATGGCAATATTTCTGCTATAGAATGAGCACTTCTTTAAAGAAACCAGTAAAATAATCCACACTGTACGTCCGTAGGGTACCACTATCTGTTCAAACGTACGTGAGTCACTTCCTCGACGATCGCTCCGTAGCAATTGCGGAGAATGCATGGTTGCCAGTGGTCCGTCGAAAAAGAACTGTGTCGGTCGGTCCGGGATAAGAGAAGAGCTGTGGAAGAGAGGAGAGCGACAAACCTGAGAATATGTGATTGAACTCACCGACTAAAAATAACGAAATCTGGAAGCTCTCAAATTTCTTAACCTGAATAGGAGGTTTGGCGGCGATGTTGGCAGCGTGCATGAAGTCCGTCATCTGCTGCGGAATCGTACACAAGGCCTTTTGAGCTATTCGAGAGCGGATTTCGGCTGATGATACACCCGTCTCCACTAGATCAGCCATGGCGACAAACTGGAAAGTAAATAAAGGTAATCGAGTAAAATCACAAATAGCAGAGTTAGTCAAATGGAAGCTTCCGAGTTGCTGACACCTACGTAGAGTTTCTTTTAAATTAGTAAAGCTCTATTTAAGTGCGGTAGAAGGCGAGGAGGTCACCAATATTCGTAAAGGCTCTAAAAGTTAAAAGTTGCACAAGAATAGTAGAGGAAGTTAATAACGATTTTCTACCTCAAAGTAGGTATCGAAATCCTGCGAGATACCAACAATGGAACAGGAATTTCACCCTATTGGGTTGAGAGATAGAGCGCACACTTTTCCGTAATCCAGCAAATCGTTTTCAGTTCATTTTGTTATGCTAACACGTTTTCCAAGAAACCCTTCCATGAATTTCCTGGAATCACCTACCGAAAATGATAGCACGGGTCATTCTGGCTCCGGCTGACAATGTAAATTACATAACGAATGGCTTTCATTGCTTGCCCTCTAATGCACTGATCCTTCGTGCATCAAATTATTCTTCACGCTTTCACTCAACATCGCATAACAGTGTACATGATGAAAAATATATTGCTATTTGGTTATTATTAAAGTTGTAAAACCTCTCGGCGTTGAACAATCCCTGAGGAATGCGCCATGTATTCGACTTCATTAAGCATTGTTTGAAGGTGATTGAATGCATATCTGGCCTTATACGGCCTCTTTGCAATGACTCGCGGTAGCCTACCGACATATCGAACCAGTGCTACTATCATCCCAGACGAGTCTGGTACCAATTTGCCGACTCCGGAGCGATAAAAGGCTTAGTGAGACGTGGGCGCGCGACCGATTCCACGTGTGTGTTGCAGGGCGCCTCCGACCACTGTGCCACATGCATTGGTGATTATTACTTCACACTAATCACGAAGCAACAAGCTACTATTCCTGGTGGAACGATCCAATTTTACGACATATCCAGAAAAATTTTGTGCAGTCCTTCCTTTTAAAAGCCATAAAATAAACTGAAGTAGAAACTAGTCGATCCGATTGCTTCTCTTGATCATAGCTTTATTTGCACTCATTTCATGGCCACACAACAAGTTTCAATCTATCGGAACGAATTTTCACTTAGAATTGATCCCTTTTATATTCCTCCAAAATGCAAACAATGTACCAACGTTAGATTTCTCATTCCTTACTGATGTTCCTTAGAAAAAGTACAGACATCTACAGCAGACCTGCAAACACGCTCTCGTTCCCTCTCTGCGCCTCGAGGCCAATTTCACGAGTTGCGAGAAGTCAGCGCTGCCGATGCCGACGATGACCACCGACAGTGGCGCGCTCGACGCCGACGTCAGCGAAGCACTCAGCTCCTCAAGTGAAGTGGGTTATTTGCTGAATTTTCAAGAATGTCTGAAAGCAGTTAAAATACCTTAATATCGGTGGGTGTTCCTCTCGTGAATATCACCAGTACATGGTAATGAAGACCACGAAAACCGGAACGGTGCGACATCCTATTTCATCACATTGCTTTTGATGTTTGCGGTTGTAAATTGGCAAAAAAAGCTTCCAAAACGAAACCAGTGCTACTATTTCATGGGCAGAAAATCGCTGCTTTACGTTCTTCGTGGACTTTAACCAACTCCGTGAAAAACAATGCACAAAAGCGTCTTCACGTTATATCCGCTAACCAATCACGGGATAGATTGACTGTATCATTTTTCAAAAATCCTAGTGGACGCGACATTCCAAAATAGCTCATATTTTTCAGCATCGACTTTCTATTAACCTCGTCATTGGATTATAAATTCGTCGTGTTCTCTCTCAGCAATCGCAAGGTTGTTAAACAGCATACGTTTACTTCCATACAATAGCACATACAACAGAATCGTAGCTGACGTTTCGGCAGGATCGCCTTCCTCAAAGCCGTTTTTAAATGCCTTCCACGGAGGAAGTGCCGCTGCTGAGAGTCGCACATGGTCATCAACCACTCTGCAGGCTCTTTTTTACGTGCCTTTCATTGAGGAAGAGCCGCTGATCAGAGTCGAATATGGTCGTCAACCACTCTGAAGGCTCTGAAGAAGACGATACTGCCAAAACATCAGCTACGATTGTTTTAGGTGTGTTATTGTGTGGAATTAAACGTATGCTATTCATCAACCTCGCGATTGCTAAGAGAGAAAACTACGAATTTATACCTCATATTTCTTATTACTATCGAGTATTGTGTTCAATGACCCAATGCGCAATTTCCATCGTCATACTTCAGTTCTATTTTCAAATTTCTATGTCAAACTTCTCAGAGAAGCTGAGGCTTTTGTCCTTTTCCCCACTCCTTAAAAAACTAGCATGTGAGTAGATTATTGCAGCATGACGACATTGGACTTTCCGTATGGCTAATGTTGTTTTTTTTTTTTTACTCAAGTCATAAAATGATCCGTATATCGATTAAGAAGGAACAATGAGCATCTAGTTTCTCACCTAGTGGCGAGAGCGACAATCGGAGTAAACTTCGATGTTTTTATAGGCGTGACGAGGGCCTGTGCCTTGCGATAAGCATCTATGATTCCGTCGAGACCTCGGCAAGTCGGATCGACGTTAAAATTCTAAAACTCACTTCAGTTGATGTTAGTAAGGTCTAAACCTGCTTATGCCACCAGCACCTGAATCTTGCTACGCTTAGAAAGCGATTTTGTGGCTCTTCATTAACCTAATTCATATTTATTACTGTTTTAGTCAGTTTATAAATGCAACTTGGATGATGGAATGCCTCTCCAGATGATATTTAAACGGTGCTATGAAGTTATTCCCATATAAAGAAAAAGAATTGAAGAAGAGGAACTCGGTGAGTTGTAAATAGAGTTGAGTAGAAAGCAAAACACATTGTTTTCACACCAAATAATCCATATAGGAATCCCATGGGGAAACAACTCACCAAGTGAAATTCATGGGTTTCGTGAAATGTAGGCGGTATCTTCGCTCCCATTCCGAATGCGGGAAAAAGGCGATTTCTGCAACGAATAGCAAAAGACTTTATGGGATGGCAGTGAAGACAAGAATTGCTAGATCACAGCAAGAAAGGAACATACGGTGTGTAGTCTCGGAGTATCCCACCGATGGCTCGGATCGCCATTTGAAGCTCGACATCGAAGCGCTGTTGATCAATATCACTAAAGCCATAAGAGAAATCGACAGCAACTTCGTAGTGGAGTTGAGTTCTGAATGAGAAATACTTTATGGATTTGGCAAGGAAGACGAAAAAAAGAGAGTAGGACGAAGAGATCGTGTAGACAGTGTAGCTGAGAAAGGAGACATAAATTCCGAAGTTGTTCTCCAGTTTATGCCATTAACTGTCCCAATTTCTTACATCATCGTCAAGAATTTTCGCCTTCGTAGAGACATTTGTTAATCCTGTCACCTAGTTTGTACCTAGAATCCATGGATTTCTGACTCTGTTGTCTACTTCGAAGCGAAGTCATGGTAGGACAGTGAGACAGAGACACATGGAGATTCCAAAACTGACTTTCTTTAAAACTCGGCATTGATCGGTAATTCACGGTCTTTGTTGATGAGCAAGCAAGAAGTTGGTATTAAAGAATCTATTAATACACAATAGCTGAATTCTTCAGACTCTGGAAAGGTCATATTGGCATGCAATCTAGTCAGCTGAACACTTTCCTCAGTAGACACGCACGTAAATTTCTATTCCCATAATAAACAGCTTCTTTTAAACACCACCGTTTTCGCACGGAGTCTTACATCTTATGCGTAGAAAGATCACAAGACACTCCCTATTGTGGTCCATTTTTGGGTTTTTGGACCTAATCCAAAGCGCTTCACGAGTTTTACGCGGCGAAAGATGAAGCACACCATATCCGAGCTCATGCAATCACCATCTCTACCGTTACGGCATATTATGCAATTTTGCATTGTAAATAAACGGTTATAAAGGCGGTTACGAATTAAGTGGCGTCTTAGAGTGTCCGGTTGTATTTCAATCACTGTCACCGAATTTTTTAGAACGACCCTTTTAAGCAACGTTTCATAGACACATTTATTTCGTCGGAAATAAAGGGCAATATGAACGGGACCTTATTCTTGCCAGAATTTTTGGAACCACGCCCCAAACTGTAGTTAAAGCGGGAATAAGGTCCCGTTTATCCTACCCTTTATCCCCAAGGAAATAAATGTAGCTATAAGACGTTGTTTAAAAGGGTCAGTCTAGAGAATTCGGTAACAGTGATTGAAATACAGAAGTGTTTATTGTTAAGGACATCAAGATAGCAGTGAAGATTTGACTAACAGGCAGATAAACAAGACGTTCGGTTAGGTAAATCATTTAGACTAAAAGAAGCTAATAGAGAAGGGATCTGATGTATATCAATTAAAAAGGCACAAACCCACTCATTAGGAATGGGCTCCGAACACTTTGGCGCTGCAGAGCAACGCCACCAATGAATTTGTTCCTTCAGATGTCGAGCACATTGACGTCTTTCTAGTACTGGCGCAGATACCGTCCCTAGTCCTAACTCAGCCCTTCCGCCGGACTGCGACTGGTGCTTGAATGAAACCGATGGCCTTTTGCAAGGTAGCACTTTTTATGTATCATATAGTAGACCGTCCTGCACTAGTTTTGTGACGACTGTGGCACGGCTTCAGTAGAAGTCTCGAAACGACCACAGCAATAAACTCGAAAATGTCCATGAAATTTAAAGCATTGGCGAGACATTATAGAATCCGTCTATTAGATAGCTGCTACAAGTGTGATGAATTCTAACATTCGTCCTTCTTTGTACTGTTTCCGTAAAAGCAGAAAATGCATATATAAAAGGATAAAGGGTAAAGCTTTCAGCGCTGATCAATCCCTGAGGGATGCGCCATGCATTCGACTTCATTAAGTATCGTTTGGAGGTGATTGAATGCATATCTTACCTTTACAACGACTCGCGGTAACCTATCGATATATCGAGCCAGTGCTGCTATCCTCCCAGACAAGTATGGTACCAATTTGCCGACCCCGGAGGGATGGAAGGCTTGGTGGGCCATGGATGCGGGATTGATCCCACGTGTCTGTTGCAGGGCACCTCGGGCCACTGCGCCACACGCTCCCGTGACCCATATATGAACAAGGATACATTTCTGTTACCTATTAGGAGTCACATTATTACAGTCTTTTTGAGCTTCGTGCGTCCTCCCCTAAAATCTTATGTTGAATCCGTAGTGGATGGATAGTTCGCATCTAAACGTAATGTGTTATATGGTTCAGCAGCTGGAAAGAGCCACATTCCGCCTTCAGTGGCTGGAAAGAAGCGCATTTCGCCCTGAGACTAATCTCGCTTGAAGTTTCCGGCAGTCCATCTTTCTTTTAGACTGCCCATTTTTTAGTTAACAAGGAAACTTTTTGCTTTGAATGCAATGAGCTGGCAGGAAGTTACGAGGAAATCGTATAGCCCATATAGACAAACAGAAACCGTTTCCTGGAAATAATTCGATGAGCAGAAGCAGTAGAATGGCTGCCCGCATGCCCAGATGTCTTCGCGAACGCTCCTGAACAACAGGCATGGTCTCCTTCGTGACTCTTGGGTAACAGAATCCACTAGGGAACTCTGTAACTCGAAAAGGACGAGGAGACCTTATTGTCACCTTCAAATCATTCGATGACCAATGGGAGAGCTCCTGATACATGTGTGTAAAAATAATTACTGGATGAAACCTATACATATCAATTTCTTTTCTTGTAGTTCGATGTATCGAATGAATACGATACAATTTTGGACACAGGGAAATGATGTATATACGTAGCGGTATTCATATTCTACAAAGGAACTTATCGCCGTTTCCGCGCAAAATCCGACTGCTTACATACGGATGTTCTTCGCAGCCATGACACATTGTTTGAGGCCCACTTGACGCACACCGAGTTGATGGGCATAGGCTGGTCAATAGTTAAATACTCCTATTTTTCAAATTCTTGACGTTAGAGTGTGAAGTGAACCTTCCAACAGTTTACCGTCTCATTGTGGCTGAGAAATGATCATGGGTATCGGGCTGCGATGTATAGCGGGTGATTAGTTCCCCGGGCAAGGTCTCCCAAGCTGAGAAGTCTGGCGTTACCACTACGAAGCGCAACTAAGAGGAAACCAATACCAGTATCCGCCACCGTCTGGTATCAAACTATTCGTATGGTGGGAAACCTCCCTCTGATCCACAAAAACCGGCGATTGCCTGTAGTGGTGAAGACCTGGGGCACACTTTAGCCAACCTAGGCTGACCTCGGGATTCCAGGGAATCATATAGGCTAGACCAGCAAAACTCCGAAAAAACGAAAATTATGCTGGAAACCGCACAACCAGTGAAAACGGACCATCCAAATATCCAATTAGGTAGGAGTGCGAAGTTAATGTCGAGGTGTACACGATTTTGCAATTGATGTAAAAACTGCGCCATAGAATTGTTCATTCAGCTCAAAAACTTACCAGATCACTTCTGAAGATATTAACAAACTTGTATCCACGATGCTGTACGTGTAAACTATTCCCAGAAACATTTCTGGAAGGACTGTAGAAAAACGCACCCACTAACTATGTAGTCCAGAAAGGAGAAAAACGAAACGTCCGTGAACTTGACCAGTTCCATCCGACCGCTATTCTCATAGTTCTAAATGAATTCTGCAATGATGACAAGCACGCTGAAAACTTTAAAAGAAAAGTTCACCTTCTTCTGCTGCTGCTTCGTCTCGTTTATAACCGCATAGACGTTATCAGGGCCGGGACCGTATTTCATTTTGGCGTACGTCGTCAAGAACTTTCCAATGAATCCTTCGGTTCCATCCACGTCGCGATACATCACCCAGATTTCCAACAAACTGGAATTATCGTGTAGCACACATATTACCTCTTGTACCAAGTTTCACCAATCTTTCTAATTTTTATAATAATTAGTTACAATCGACAAGTAAACAGTAAAAGTATCACCTCCTTAATAAGTAACCTCCGGTGCACACATCCCCTTATAGCAATATGTTAGAATGACTAAAGTCACTGAGTGGTTTACTACCTTAGGTGATCGGAGATATTCCTCGGTGTCTACCTCTAGTCTACAACCTACAGCTCACCCTCTAACAATGCTACCCAGCTCAAGAAGCGTATCGACACTTCCATACGTTAAGACTACACCTGTGGCGGAAAATGTCGATACTCTAGAAGGGATCCGGTCGCAAAATGACAGACTTTCGGTAGTACACATAGACGGCAACTATAAGAATTTTGGTTATAATGTGCTCGAGCACGGCTGTCTTAGGATCCCGTAAGAAAAAATTAAACTCCAATGAAATAATGATCCAATCGAATTTATGCCGAAATCCTGTTGGTGTCTCGGGAAATAGAACCATTTAAATACATAGGCAAGTAAGTACGGTGATTTTTTAAGTAGTAAAAGCAAAAGAAACAATAACAATGGTTTCTCCTGACACCTTTTAAAATTGCGAGCATAATTTGGCACAAAATTTAAACTATGCTAAAAGTCTAGCCACTGACCGATTCCTGTTGTCTGCCGCATCCTGAGCTCCGATCCGAAATTCGGGCCACTGAGGATGTGAGTGGTTCTTGATCGCTTCACTTTCGTACAGTAATACAAGCTCGTCATCGTCTTTACCTTTCTCAAGCCGAAAAACCTAAATTTTGTGCATCCTACTGCAAAATCAATGGAATCTTCCAACTGTGAAATCATCTCTCATGATTATCTCATATGCAGATAGGCAACGGTATAGAAACTTTTAGCGGATGATTACATCTAAGTCAAAAAGTTAGCTTAAGCTTGTTTTTAATTAAGAAAGCGAAAACGGAAGAAAAGAGTGAAAAAAGAAAAAAACAAGAAACAGATCGAATGATGACTTCCAATAAACATCAGACTAGTGCTAAGTCAATTTCAACCCGACCACCCCAGCCCAGCATAACGTGAACCGTCTACCTCAACTTTCATTTAGAAAGTAGGCGACATATTTAAGATTTCGCTTATAACAGTTAAGTACACCTAAAACTTTGTTCACCACCATTTCGAAAACTGTTCGTATGCAAAACACAATCACAAAGAAGTCCGTCAACGATGATTGCTGATAGCGCTGATCGATAGAACTAGCCGAAAACCAAGACCAAACGAAAGACCCTCGTGGTGTGGTGATGAACCCGTTAGCCTCCGGAAAGGGTAACAGCGTGTTCGTTCCCCAACGCAGACACCTGCGGTCCAGAGTTTCGCAAATATCTCAGCCTTTTTGTGGTCGCATTTTGAATAATGCTCTGCCGTAGGGCGTGCGTGGCGCAGTGGTTGGAGGCGCGACTGCGGCACACACGTGGAATTGATCCCCGCGCCCATGGCTCACCAAGCCTTCCATCCTTCCGGGGTCGGTAAAGTGATACCAGATTTGTCTGGGAGGATAGCAACACTGGCTCGATATATCGGTAGGCCACCGCTAGTCATTGTCAAGGCCAGATATGCATTCAATCACCTCCAACGATGCTTAGTGAAGTAGAATGCATGGCGCATCCCTCAGAGATTGACCAACGCCGAGAGCTTTATCCTTTATCCTTTTTTACCATGCCGTGAAAATTGTAGTAGGCAGAAAATAAAAGGTAAAACTGTTCGCATGCTCTAAGTAGTAGCTGTTCATACCATTTCCACTTGAAGTGACAGTGATTCTTTAAGTTGTTCGGTTTAAAACTCCACTAAAATGTCTTTCTACTGGGAATGAAAACTGCAGAAACGCATGACTGTTCATGAATGGTTTTCTCAATAAATCTGGAGAGCTCACTCGGAAAAAGACGGCTGTCTCGTCCCAAAGTAGATCCTTGCGATCAAGTGACCTTCCATGCAGTTGCACAATTATGGGTTGCTCCTTCTCCGGCATTTGGGCTAAAATCAAATTTAATAAAGGCTAAATAGTGCTTAGCAAAATGTTGACCAATAAGAAAAAGTAGCGACGGTTGTTCCATAGTCGAAAAGAAAAATTATTAAGTTTTCACCGCAGTAGGGCCAAAAATCAATGGATCGCACCACAATAACAGAGGTTCTAACAAGCTAGGTGTGCCAGTTAAAGCTCTGTTGAAGTACAACAGAAAACCAACGATAACCACCGCTCTCGCCAAATCTTTATCTTCCTCTACAATAAAATCTTCGCCACACATAATCTAATCTAAATTTTGTTCTCTCAAAGTCTACTCTGCTAGTCCTTCTCATGATCCTACAAAATTCAACAAAATCACCTAGCTGGGGACTAACTCTTATGATTCCCAAAATCAGATTAGTCGAGCTGGTTCTGGACACAACTATTACCGGAAAATGGTGTAAAATGAAATAAGCAAAAACAAGCCAGACCTGAGATAGTCATGCAGCCAATTGCTGACATGTTTGTTCGGCCAGTTGAGAGGGCTTGTGCGATAGTCACCGATTTGCTGAATGTAACGAACAGTGAAAGCTGAAGCTGAATATTAAGTAGAGCAGCTCAGAAAACACATAACTGTACTCTAAGAGAGAATCAAAACCTTTGCTCTGCATCCCAACGTTCCTCCTCTCCCCTTCCTCTTTCATTCCCACTAGGGTGATTCCTTGAGTGAACAGAGCCCAGTGAATTGCCTTGTTACCCAGCAACGAGAAAATCCCTTCAAGCTCGCGCAAATAACTCTATCATTAACGAGATTAAAGGTGACACAGGTAAACATAACAACAACATCAACAGAGAAGGGGTTTGGAGCGCTGAAAGAAAGGGCTTGCAATCTAAGGTGGTGCGATATTCACCAGAACGCAAATTTGCTGCCTCGATCTGCTAATCCAGTCAAGTATTTCACTCTCGTTTGGGGGTTTGTCGATTAAAGTGTTGCCTAACAAGCATAGTGCACTAATTTTCTAACATTTTACTACCAGAAAGACTTGTTATCACAAAGATTTCCAGAGGAACAATTTATAGGCGGATAACAGCTACGGCGATATATTTCAGTAAGATCGATTGACGCTGTCATCGTGTAACCTATTGTATCTGGCTGGCAGGCTGGGAGTTGGTTATCACGCTTGAAGATTGAAGGATAAGTCCAATTCATGAATAAGGGATTGAAAAGTACTTCTTTCTGTGATAAGCTTACACGAGGTTGATAAACAGTTTTTATTTGGCTAACGTTTCGACGTCCTCGGCTTCATCAGATCCGATAATCCGAGTCCATAGCCCACGCTTGTTCTTTGTCTCCATGTGGCGTCTTCGCCTTCGTGTCCAGTCAGGTCTTCCTCAACGGGTCATCTCCCTGAATGAGGCATACTCACTCAGTGATGCCATTTTATGCAGGATTCTGATGGTTGATAGTAGTGATTGTCTGCTGATAGTAACTTGTTTTTCCCGGACAATCCATCCTGCAGAAGTCGGTATCATTTCAAAATCGACTTTCCTTTAACCTCATTATCATAATCAATATGTATTTTTTCTTCGATAAGCTTACACGAAGTTGATAAAATCAATGTGCTTTTCTAAATTTCTCGCGTTTATTTTACCAACTTTGCCTTCATAAGTTTATAGAATTGAAAATCCAGATTTTAGAAGAAATGGTATTCTCCATCCGATTACAGCAGAAACAGCGTTTCACTTCCCGCTTGTACATTGCTCGAAACTCCTCATTCTTTCTCAGTGCCTTCCTAGTGTTATCCATTCCTTTCACTTCCTGGAAATTCAATAACGGTATCTTATGAATGAAGCATTATAAAACTGATGCACTCTACTAGGAGATTAGGTACGAAAACTCGGTTTCCCGACTGTTGGAAGTTCTCTAACGGTCTAGAAATTCTAAATGCTTGAACAGATGGCAATCTGGATCAGATTACCAAACCGCTTAGTTTCCTGTTGATCGTGTAATGACTAATGACCAGCAAAATCTCTACTCGCCTTCCTCACGTGTGACACTTGCCAAACGAGTTTCGCTAGCATAAGGAAAACAAAAAACACCATGTTTTTCATTCGAATCTTCTCAAGCGAGCGGGCAACACAATAGCAATGATGCCGGTCATGATGAGTACAGTGCTGATTCGATCCCCCTCCTGGTTCACCAAGTCTCTCATCTTTCCGGTGTCTTCGGTGTCATAAAATTGCTACCGGACTTGTGCAGGAAAAATCCTCACTGGAATAAAATTAGGAACATCCTAACCCGGCTATCTCAGGAGACTAATAAGAGTTGACTCGACCAGCATTCTACGACATACAAGATAAAATGAAAATCCTCAAGCAGCAGTCGAAGCCACACGTAGAAGTTGGAAGAAGCAAGTAAGCTTCTTATATGCGCGTCATGCGTGAAACAGCCCTAGGTTTGAAAAGGGACGGGCTGTTCTTTTTGTTCATTGCACTATTCATCCTCCAGAAAACCTTAAAATGACCTTACAGCTGTTCAGATCTAGAGGTTAATCGTGGTGGATAGCCGCCGCACAGAGTAATACATGGTCGATAACTGTCAGTTTATAAATAACTTAAATACTTACAACAAATAAACGGCTCTGAAGAAGGCGAAACCGCCGAAACGTCAGCAATTGTGTTCTAATAAATTCTATATTAACAACCTCGTGTCTGCTTATTGAAGAAAAACATTGAATTATCAATTAATGCCGAGGTTAACAGAAAGTCGGTCTTGGGAATTGCACCTAGCTTTCGTTCAGCGAGAAAAACCATTTGCGTGCACATCTGCGATACCTCAGTGGGTTTAGTGGTGGAGTACATGTGATGCATCATTTGGAACCTTTTACGGAACTCGTTTGCTTGCATGGCTGATCTTGATTCAATGTCTTGCCATATTTTGTCACTGATGGTAAATGCTTTAAAAAGAAACAAGCAGGAAGTTCGCCGGCTAATTTAGAGGGTCTACCATTTTGTAACAAGGCAGTCCATTTGGCTTTCGTTGACTTGGAATCTACTATTCGGACTCGTAACGTGTGATAAGACGACCCGTGTTAACGACAGGCAGAAAAAAATGTCGTCTGCCGTTATAATGTAGAATTCTTGAACCTTCCTATTAAAGGATAGGTAGAGGCAAAAACATTGCGAAAAAGGCAAATATATGACTTCCCTGCAATAAACGAAACCCAAATGAAACATAAAATAATAATTTTGCAAGCAACTATAAAAAAAGGAGAAAACTGAATTTCCGTTCTTACTAAGCGATTATTTCAATGATGCTGAAATAGTTGGAAAACTCCGGAGCGCAGGTGTCTGCGGTGGGAAACGAACGCGCTATTATCCTTTTCGGGGGCTAACGCGTTAACCACCGCGTCTTGCAGGTCCTTCGTTTCGCCTGCCTCTCAGCTAGTTCTATCGATCAGAGCCATCAGCAATCACCCATCAACAGGATTGATCTGGGTAGCTCAAACCCACATTGAACCCAGTTAAGCTGAGGCTGTAGTTATAATCACAATTTTAACTTACTATTTACTGCCTATTCTTTTTACTGCCTTCTTAGCCCCGGAAAGGGTAACAGCGCGTTCGATCACCATGGCAAACACCTGCGGTCCGGAGTTTTACAAATATCTCAGCATCATTGGAGTTATATTTCGTAACATACCCTGCCATTAAAAAAATAGGCAGCAAATAATAAGTTAAAAATAAGTGAATATTATTGTTGATGATCTTATTTACTATTGTTGGGACTACGAAAAAAATGATCTCACTAAAGTGATCGTCGTATGTGTAGACCAAATGAGCCAATCAGTTCATCGACTTTGAAGATACAGCTACCGATCAGGTCGTCGGAACTGGACGCGGTGGCGCCGTCATGCAGTCGAAATCTGAAACAAGTGCTCAACCTGGTACCCTGAACGTTTTCGATGAGACCTGATAAGGTATACTTGCATGTCGATCTTAATGAGCTGCGTTTTTTCGAAGACATATTTGAAAGGTATCCTCTCTTCGAAGTCGACGTTTCTCGAGAACACCACAGCAGGACTGCTGGTGCCCAAGAGACCCCAATTCTCGCTCTCGTTGTCGTTGTGATAAAGAGAACAGTTCACCCGAGTCAGATGATCCACGCCGAGCAAATTGCTGAAAGAACACCGAAATTCTTATGGTAGTAGGATAACGAGATCAATCGCTTTTATAAAAGAATGTTAATGAGAAGGTCCTCGCAACACTCTCTAACCTCTACTTTATTCTGCCAGCACTATTAACCATGAAGTTTAGGCCTAAGTGAGATGCAAAAAAGAATAGCAGAAGAACTCCGATAATGCTAATCTTATAAAAACTCTGAGAAATAATTTGACTTCCTCGAAGCTTATTTCATTCAGAAGTGTTCTGTATTACTTGGATATTTACCTAGACGGCCCGTCCTCACTGCTTGCGCGAGCCCCAGCACGATCTCTATTTTTCGGAGTCTTGCTGGTTTGCACATTATGTTTCCCTAGTGTCCTGAAGTCAGCCTGACCAAAGTCTGCCATAGGTCGTCACCACCACAGGCACCCTTGTGGATGAGAGGAAGATTTCCCACCATGCGACTGATATTTGCTTTCCGTATTACAAGAAATTTTTCTGAGAAGGGCAATTTATGAAATCCCGTTAACTACCGTACAGAACTAGTGACTGTCGGACTCCAATGCAAACAAACTTAACAAAGCGTTTCAATGCAAAAAAAAGAAGTTAACCATGGGCAAGTTTGCATTTGATCTTTTTTCTCGTGCACTTTTCGGAGCTGAGAAACATAAATTGCTCATTGGATTCGGGAAACAAAATACAATTTGATGCTACTAACTTGTCTCAATCTGTTTGACAATCTCAGCTGTGCTGAAAAGCTCTGGAAAAAATGGCTGAGTTACCTGACGGCGATGGAGATATCGATAGTGTGTGATCTGGATGGCATAAGTGATCGTGGCAAAATGCCCGTCGTCGGAATCGACAGAGTTCGCCTGGAAGTGGAGAGTTCACGGTAAAAAACGGTGCAAAATGGTAGAGACTAGCGGAGTTTGAAGAAAGGACAGTTCGGAAGTAATTTAGAGTCACGTCTGATCGCCTCTCGACGGTGGAGTGGCGCAGAAGTGTACAGAAACCTACTTAGATAATAAATCCGCAACAATACAGTTTAATTGAACCAGGATTGAAAAAAGTATCGAATCAGGATTATTTAGATAAATGATTAGTAAAAACGATAACTCATGGAAGACTCATAGCAAACGGTGAGTGCGCGAAGAAGCTATTCTGTAATGTGATTGAAATCTTGGTCTAGAACTTTCTCTGGGCAGTATTTAAACCTATAATTCTGGTAAGAGGGGTACATTACCTTTCCATGTGAACTCCATGTGGGTTGGTCTCGACGTGACATATTCAGTGGAAGACTCATAGAAAGCGTTGAGTGTACAAATAAGCTATTCTGTGTTCAATATGATTGGAATCTTGGTTTAGCACTTTCTTTGTTTGGCTATGGAGGTGTTTGGCTGGGTATTGCGATCAACTTGACCCTTCCAGGCTCTCAGGAAGGCGAAATCCGGTGAAATGCCAGCTTATGCGGAAATAAAGAAATAAAATAACACCTCATGTTTGTTAAACAAGAATATAAAGAATAATGATAACGTTTATTTCACATTTACATGACCCGTCACCATATCCGTTTGGCGGATCCCAGCATTTCTTCTGTTCGATTCCTTCTCCTTGCATCCATCGTCCACAATGGTCTTCGAACATTTCGCATGTTGTTTCGTTTGTTCGTTTCGATGTTTGAGTATTTCGTCTTCTTTATGGATGTCGTAGAATGTTGGTCCAATTGATTCTCTTTGTGATCTTCGAGATCGCTGAACTAAGTTGTTTCCACGTGGATTGGCGAAGAGCTTTGGGAAGTGGTCGAACTAGCACTTTGCATCAACCACTATGCACTGCTAATAGTGCAAACAGGGATAATAAAGGCATTAAGGTTTTAGAAACAATCAAGTTACTCTCTCAAAATGAACTCCAGGTCCACCGATCTTCGTTCAAGAAAAACGTTTGTATTCCAAAAATATTTTATAGCCACAGTGTAGTTGACAATTGTGAGACTTCATACTTCTCACCGTCAACAATATAATGTGTTAAAAACTCCTGCGAGCAAACCAGCTTTGTTTTTTTTTCCGGGAAAACATCTGCGAATGAAAGCAATAAAATTCATATGGGACGTTCTCATATCGAAGAATTGCAAAATAAATGATCGAGAGGAAAGAACGTTGCTTCAGCCGCACTTTAGGGAATGGAGTTTCTGTGATAAAGAATAAAAAGGGAAAAGCGACGTTGACTAAGCCCTAGGAAATGAACTATACATTCAACTTCACGAAGCATCGTACAGATGATTGGATGCATTCGCTGGTACCGCAGATACTGTAGTAGACTGATGTCAAACTTGTGAGCTCGAAGAGATGGAACGCTTGGTTGTTATAAGACGTGGGATCGAACCAACTAGTTGTGTAAATTGCAGTGCATCTTTAACCACTATGATGCATAGCTCATGATTTAAGTACCATATTATCTTTGCAACAGTAGTAAAAATGAATTCGAAAATTTTTTCAAAAGATGGGCGTTAAATAGTTAAATTGGGCGGCAAGAATGACAGCTCGGCAAAGTTCTATAAGACACCCTCACTCGCCATCACTGAAACGGCAAAACCACAAAATTTCATGATCCAGTAAGCGCGTTCATTCGTGCTTTGTTCATACGAAAACTAGGACTGCCGTAGCAAACGAAGGACATGGAAATCTGATGTGGCTAACAGCTGATTCCTCATGAGCCATGTAACGAACGGCAGAAAATAATTGCTCTGCACGAGAGCCGTAGTTAATAGTCGTTGGCGAAATGTCTGACGCCATATGTGCAAGAATATATCTATTTATTATATGGACAGCAAATGACGAAACAGAGAGGGAAACATGGATCGAAAACTGAAGAGAATAATGGCAACACTTTAAAAGAAATTGGAAAAAGTCATTCATCAAGACAAATCAAAGACAGCGCTCTCGGGCTCTACGCTGATTATGTTCGTGAGCTTGTGTTTTCGATTGAGAGCAGCAGATGACCTGATTTCGCTCTCTGATGCGCATACACAACGCCTCATCCACATCACCCATTGAGAGTACTTATTCCACGATCTGCAAGCCTAGATAGAGAGAAGAATTCACTGGCGAAGATCACCTTCATGAACTTGACGAATCTTATGCTTCTAGACCACGATACCACTGGTCTGTAAGAGAATAAGATAACCGAAAGGTTCATGCAATGACGCCCTATGGCGACATCACTTATGAAGAGTTTCCGATTCCTTGTCAGGATTACTAATTAACTGAGGAACATGTGGACAACGTTAGCCTTAAATTCATCACTGACAGTGGGGACCGCCGATTGCAATATCGCAATGGAAAACGGATGTTTTGGAAACGGTTGTGAAGGGCAACGACGACGCGCGAGATAGGCTGTTTTTAAGATCAGGAATTTCTATAAAAACAAAAGCATTCTGTTTCACGGAAGTGCATTAGCCGACAGCATGGAATTTCTTTCGTGTTAATACGAATGAAAGCGTTTACTGCAATTTGATGCTCAGTGACCGCCTTCTTTCGTCCAAGTTCTTTACCTTAAGGATGAGTATGTGGTGATGCATCTGAATTGCAAAATCCTCCAAGTTCCGTCTGAATCCAATTACTAGTCTGTAAGCAGATTAGATGAATGTGATAGTGCATGCAGAGGCTACTGCACAGGTCTGAAGTACTTTCTCGGAACGAGACGACATGCATCAACAAATTGGATTCCGACTATTCAAATGTAATGAGTATCCATGACACTCGCCTACGCACTCCTCTCGCTTCCAACTACGATGAGAGTGATGAGGTATAGACGGTGAAGAACACGAATAGACATTAGCGATGCCTATTTATGGATTTCCTCTGAACCACGTACACGCAACGGCTACGACTGCTCTGCCTCTACCTCAATCGCTGAATAACAGAGTTAGACGTAGTGAAGTAGCGCTCGAAAAGTGCGTCACGCACAAGCTCCTGAGGAATGCTTCCCGAACTCGATTATTCACACGATTATGTCTATTTTCACTGTAAAACGAAGAGCGTTTCAATACTAAGGTAGTAGTAGACAAGGTTCTACGTGTCTTGAATTATTCGATAACTCGATTCGTCCACTAGTTTACTTTGGAGCATATGAACTGCACTTTGAAATACGCACTAGTAGTCGCTTATAAGACGTCATTTTCTGCACCATCCTTCATAATAGGAGAAGAAATTTTAGTCACTTCACAACCAGTCCCATACACAAATTCACGGATTTTAATGCTAACGACTACACTAAAACGAGACCATTTACTTTTCTATTTGTTTTTTAAGGCGGATAGCACAGTGGTGGTGTGTTAGTCATGGCGAGCATGGTGCTAGTTCGATGAGGCTCCGAGCCAACTAAGCCTCTCATCCCTCCGAGGTCGGGAAATCGGTACCAGACTTTTCTGGAAAAAAATCACTCTCTGCAATCCAATTGGGAATGCTCCAGCCCGGCTCTCTCAAGACCTTAGGGGAGAATTACTCGAACAGCATTCTACGACATTAAAGATGAAATGAAAATACTCAAACAGTAACCGAAGAAACACGCAAAAGTTGGAAGATCTTCATAGGCAATGGATGCGAGGAAACGAATCGAATGTGAGAAGTGCAGGGATCCGCATTGTAGACGTGAAGACGGACCATACAAAATAAAAAATATTACTTTTTTCTTTCCTATGGAGACTCAGTCCGGAGTGTTCGCATTAACGGAGAAAGCAGATAATTTTAATTTAAACGCCAGCAAAAGCAACGAGTGTAAAAAGGCGAAAAACAGTCCAATAACAAAATTAACGAGGCGGCATTAAAAGAATCACGTAGAGTCGCACGTCAATAGAAAGTACTTCTAGGTGAAGGTAATACTTTTTGATGTAAAATTACGGAAGGCAGACAAAGACAAATTGTGGAACTCGCTCTACTTGCGACGCAGCTATCGAGATCACGTTTGGCCTTGTCACTTCTGATTATTCAGATACTAGAACGCAAACGTCACTCACGTAGACAAGAAAAAGATTGTCAGAGATTCATTTCTGGAGCGTCGCACGAGCAATACGCCACGAAACAAAGTGGGTGTGAATGGAATCCAGTGAAGGTGATCTAGTGCTTCGCTGCAAGAGTCAGGCCCTTCATGTCCAGGAATCAATGAAGCACGAGAAGAGGAGCCAGCACGCGCTTTGTTCGTACATCACATTACTCTCGAATCTCCAAACAAAGACGGAAAACGCATTTCCTATTTGAACATCAAGGAAACGACTTAAATTTTCCCGTGGCAAAACCTTTGCGAATAAAAGTCCGGATAGTTGGAAATGCGGAAAAAAATTATTGGTAAAGTTGTTCACTACTTGAGCAATTCCGTTTCGAAATCGGTTATGACACATCTTGCGCCTGCGCTACGTAACCACACACACCGTAATCGTGATCACTGTAAAGCTGTTAGAATTGCGAGCATCTTCAAGTAATCAGAGGATTTGGAATATCTAAAAAAAAGTGCCAGAAAAAATCAAAGAGAAACAGGGAAAAAAATAAGCAGATCGAATCAAAGGAAAGTCGATTGCGATGTAGTGGTGAGAGGCTGAGGCTCTGAAAACAAAACTTTGTTGAGCGTTTGTAAATATGACCATTTATTTCTACGTGCACATAATGGCACATTGTCGACCAACGCAGAAAACCTGCTCTGGCCTACTAGGAGGTTCTGATCTCTCCTCGATATCATGTACCAGGTGAATGGATTATTACAGCAGTTAAATAACAAAGATGCCTAGGTTTTGACAGATGAAATGCGAATGGCAACTTGGGACAATTGAGCGAAATATTTGAAAAATAGGGAAAATATTTGTTTCGAGGAAAACAAACTCCAACGGAGTCCTCGATGTCCCTAAGAATGAAGATTTTGCCTTACGGTGACTATTGTATCTAATCGGAGGCCGATCTCTCTCGCATGAGTGATCTTCTACAGTCGACTAATTCACTAGTGTCATACGTAAATGAAAAT